ATGCACAGACATCAACAATCAGTGTATGAATCTCAACAATGGTGACAAACAGTAATTTCCTTTTCCTAATTGAATATACTAGGACATTTCAGATCATAATTTATTCATACCGCAATGCATGATGGGAGCCATGAATGAGTTTTGATTGGTGGCACCCAGAATGCACTGCAACATGCTTTATTATTGTCACCATTGTTGAGATTCACAGGCTGTTTATTGATGTCAGTGTGTCTAATAAAATAATTTTTCCAAGTCTTTTTATCAGTACAACTTTTAAGAAATATTTTGGATTATATTGAAAATGCTGAACATCATTTGTTATAGAATCACAGGCCTGCTGTAATCAACAAGTTAAAATCTCTCTAAACGAGGTTTGTGATGCAGGGCATTTCATGATTGTGTCAAAACATAACCAACACCATCGGATCACCTGTTCTCTTTGATCATCTGGCATTTATAACTCAGATACAACAGCCAAAGAAAATGTAACGTTAACAGTTTAAAGGTCACGTGCCCAACTAAAGCAAACACTGATCACCATAATGGTGGCTTAAAAATTAGATTTTGCAATGTACTGTTTATTCAACATCATGTTTACGCTCTCAGAAAATGGCACACAACAACTATAACTGACTTAAAACCAGAAATCTAAAATCAACTAGAAATATGTGTGACAAACTCCTGTGTACTCCATTGAACAAGCAAAAGACACAAGATAGTAGTGTTTTACATTTTCCTCATGTTTGTAGTTGACGTTGGGGAGAGCGGGGCACAACCTAACACATCTTGGTTTTGGCTCAATTATTAAAAAAATAATTAAGTTAGATTCATCTTTTTTTTACACAAGCAACATACACATCTCTGCCACAAATGAACACTTAAAGTTTTTTTCTAGGACCTACCATTTTCAGTTGCACTGAAAGTGACAGAAGTGCAAATGTTACAATTTACCCCACGTGTGGGGTTAATTGTAACAGACAGAGGGGTTAGTTGTAACGCTTGTGTGTATCACACATAATTCAGTGCTATTTTATCTGTATAGTTTGATTTTGTGTGTGCATCTGTATAGATAGATATCCATACATCCATCCCTCATCGAATCATCCTTCTATTATGGATCAATATCATGGATAGAAATATAGGAAAGGGCTGCACAGTTTTGCAATAAATAAGTAAAATCGTCAAATATTGTAATTGCAATTGAATAATATTTGTATGTGGCAGCTGCATGCAAAAAAATATTATTATTAATAGTAATAATAATAATAAAAACAAGCTTTAAAATCATATTTTAAAGGGTTTATTGGATGAAAAACAGGCTATATTTTTGTGATCAATGGATAGTAAACAAATGTGAAAAAAATCATACTTTGACAACATTGTTTGTGAAAGTCCAACAAAGTTAAATGTGGCAAAATAAATATATAAATAAATACTCAAACCTGAAAAGTTGTGTGGCTCCCTGTTTTCATTTCATTATCATTTTACTCTTGGCGGATTAGTAACACTGTGCTACAAATAACCTCGCTGTGTAAAACATATTTTAAAAGCCTAGCTAACAGTTGCTAGGAGTTGCTGATATTTTTCAAAATGGTGCTATGTTTTAGCCAACAAGACAGTGATTAAGGTAATATAAAGTTAAGATTTGGTGACATACACACCCAACTCAGAAACTGAAAAAAACGTATGATGAAAAAATTGACTTGCACGGAGTCAAAACACTTTTTATCCAGAATCATCAAGGAATCTTATCAAAACTTTCCACAAATCCGCAGGAGCGAGAGAAAAAGAGCGGAAACACAACCTGCTTGACCTTGACTAACTATGTAAAAGGTACATGTTACATTTAACCCCGCGTTAGGTTGTGCCCCACGCTCCCTATCCATTTGATGTTTGTGTGTAGATCTATGCATGAACAATGAAAAAATGATTGTTGTTAGATATTGTACACATCGATCTGATTAAATGTAACAAAACAAAATTACCCGTATGGGCGCAACTATGACTGTTGAAGCCAGAGCCGGCCCACCCTATACGCGAACTAAACGGCTGCTTGGGGCCCCGCCGCCACTAGGGGGCCCCCAAACTATGGTCCGACCATAGACCCTGACCGTGACCGGTAACTCGACGTACATTTGCATCACATGTTAACGCAGCGGTAGAGTAACTCACCGGACACTGCACTTATTCGCAATTGTACTGATACTGACTATTGTAACAGTTAACCAAAAGAGGGCGCCGTTTAGTGGTGTTGCTTTATGTTGCTTGTAAACGGATGTTGAGCAATAAAGCACTCTTGAGAATGGCAGTCTGTGTGTCCAGTCAATACAGAAATCACAAACGTTTATTATTTGCATTTGCTATAAAGCCTTGTCAGTTAAACATTTCATTCGCGTGCTGTTCTGACATGCATTTTTTTTTCTGTGCACGTACACACTGAGCGCGTGCTCACTAAAAACCTGTCAAACAGCGCCCGATTACTGGACTTTATCTACATTGCGTTTGATTGTGCATATACTGTCAGATACACACAGGGTTTACATAAACACAATTGAAGTAATCAGTTGTGTCTGTCACTTTGTTATAAGCGGGACCGCAGCCTATAGTATACATGGATAGTTAAAGGGATAGTTCACCCAAAAATTATTATTTACTCTCTCTAGGTATCAATATGTGACCCGATCTGGCGAAATGAGTCGGAAGTCGCAACGTTCTATTTTAAGATATGGGCCGATTATGTGGAAAAACAATGAAATAATAGATTTTTTTTTTTGTGCTAATTTCAAAGAACAGACATTCAAAAATAATCTCCCAAAGTTTCGTAGTCCAGATAATTGAGTAAAGGTATCTAAATTACTATTAAAGTTTACAAAGTTTTACTAAATTCGCTGGAAATGAACATTGCTTTTCTCAACTCCTCGCGTCACCTCTGAGCATTTCCCGGGTATCCCCTGAAACGTCACTATCTCTGCTCTTTAAATGGTGTTACACGTTGTATAGAACCAATCAAAAAGCTTAGAAATGTACACCAACGCTGATCATTTGTCGATGGGAAGCCGTTTCGACTGACCGGCACGCGATTGGTCCAGCCACCCTCCTGTCAGACTCGCAGCGAGCGCTCTGTGTAATAAACAAGCTAGCAGATCTCCTCAGAAAGATTAAATATTATTAATTTGAGAAATGTCGCTGTCAAAAGCGAGCAAAGTTGCCAAAGCGTCATCAAGCCCCCTGGCCATTGCACACTGAGTCCGCGTTTTTTTCGTATGCGTTTTTTCGTATTGATTCGGTGGCTCCGAATTGTCAAAACACCATTCAAACTGCTTGCTACGGATGCGAAAAACTTACGATTGTTTTTATATAACGGATGAAAGTGTCGTAGTGTGCACGCGTGATTGACATAACGTGATTGACAAATGTGAATGAGTGTAGCTATTTATCTGCAAGGAGAATTCATTAATGTGTTTAATTAACCCAATATTTGTTGGTATCTCTGTTATGAATTTGTTATGCTGTTATTGTCAACTAGCCTACAGATATAAATTGCATAGACTAGCATTATTTGATCTGTTTCCTTGTCTCTCTGCCTCTCACTTTCTCTCCCACTCACTCACTCACACACACACACACACACACACACACACACACACACACACACACACACACACACACACACACACACACACACACACACACACACACACACACACACACACACACACACACACACACTCTCTCTCTCTCTCTCAAGCAATGTAGCACCTCTGTTCAATCTTTCTGATTTTAGTACATTTTTGTAAAAGGTAGGCCTACTGTTAAATTATTTATTCAAATAAAAACTTTAAAATAATTTGAGCTTCAGCCTGGTTTAATAGCATTTATATATTAATGTCTTTGGTCAAATTAAGCTGTAAAATAAATAGTTTATCCCTTTAAATGTAATGGATTTTGAAAGATATCAACAAAAAACGGGCAAAAAACTTTAAAAGCGATTTTCTCAGGTTTTCAATTGGAAAAAGAGGGCAGACGACCATACTTCAAATGTGTATATCTTTACAACCATTCAAGGTATGACTTTGACTAGGATATCAATTGAAAGCTTAAGGTCTCCTCTTTCCATTAATACCAAAATCTCAATTTTTAAATTTGGGTCACTGTGACTCATTTTGCTGGATCAGGTCACATATCTTTCTTCTGCTTAACACAAAATAGGATATATTGAAGAATGTGAGTAACCAAACAGTTGCAGGTCCCCATTGACTTCCATATAGGGAAGAAAAAAAAAAAACTATGGAAATCAATGGGGTCTATCAACTGTTTGGTTACACACATTCGTCAAAATATCTTCTTTTGTGTTCAGCAGAAGAAAGAAATTGATACCTAGAGAGAGTAAATAATGACAGAATTTTCATGGGTGACTAAAAACTACACCTTTATTGTTATCTTGTTACAAGGCCATCTGATTCTGATCTGTTCATTTTATGTCTTATTTAAGTATTTAATTTAATATTGTCCGTTTTGTAATAAAAGTATAATTTTTTATATAAGAATATACTGTTTATCTAAAGTTATTTAGTTAACTGTTCTGCACATTTGCACGCATTTTTTTATATTTTTTTTATAGGCCTATACCAAAAGCAGGTTTGCTGGTTTATTTAGCACACCACATTGAGTATGCCACTTAGTACTGTAAGGCTTTGAATATTAAAGTGCAAAATAAGAGCTGGCCACTCTTGTGGGTTTGCTACTGTTACAATTTGAAACCGTATAAGGGTAAAACATGCCAGGCAGACATTGATGTTAGCAACACAGCTACAACTAATAAAATTGATAATGGGTGTGTTTTGTAGTCTGCAAATAATCAAGCATTGACAATATTCAATCATATTGGCGGCACCATGGGCCCCCAAATAAAATTCTGCATAGGGCCCCATAAAGGCTTGGGTGATTGAAGCTCCGCCCCTCACTTCCGTTCTGAAACTATATAGTCTACGCCTGAAACACTTTCGTTTTAGCTTAAAGACTGAAAAAGTGAGATATGGAGGAAGAGAAGATGTACAGAAGTAGGACAAGCATGAAAGACATATTTAATAGAAAATGTGCAAATGAGCAATCAGGTCAGTTCAAATTTATTAATATTCCTTTATTAATCTTACATGCAAAAGCTAAACTTGATTATGATTTGCGGTGAAGACACAAAGTGGACTGAGTTTACATTTCCTTATTCACTATTATTTCAATAATTCATTATTCAACAGCCATGAGTCAATTGTTCCCTTATAGACCTTTTAATGGCGTCGTGACAAAGTTTACTGACTGAAAATGGGTATATGCAGTTACCACACTTATTAGAGTTACCGCACGTATTTATAGTGATAATTTATTATTTCAAGATGATGACAGAATCCGCTTTTCTGAGAAGTGTTTTGGTGCAGAACACACACACACACACACACACACACACACACACACACACACACACACACACACACACACACACACACACACACACACACACACACACAAGCTCTGATCTCTGTGCGTGACGTCTCGCGCTTGCGAAGTCGAAACCGGAAATAATCTGACATGTCATGACTGAACCACAAGTGTGAACCACTGAAGCTTCCCAGTCGTGTTACTCTCTGCTCAAATCAAAACAGATTACCCAGAGGCTGCTGTTGGCAGGGGCGTAGCAGCCATTATAAAAGTGGGGGGGACAAAATGGTGTGGTGATGTGACCCAAAGGTCAGTCCTTCCAGAAAAATGCAGAGTTTTTTTTGTGATTGTTGCGGGCAAAAATCCTTGATTATGTGGCGATGGAATATGCAGGATATTTGCAATTTTATGTGATGAAATTGCGGGAACTTGCAAAAACTGCGGTTTGATGAAAAAGAGAGAAAAAGTGATTCCCCAACACCCTGTTCTCACTAGGCCACTACCTTAATGTAAAGAGCTATTTCTTATTACTTCCTATGATAAGCAAACATACTACATCACAGAAAGTGCTGGAATATTTAATCTTGTTTTATTTCAGACCTTAATAAACACATGGCTCAAACTTACAAAACATTGATGAGTCAAACTAGTTCTGTAGCTTTACAAAAGGAATATATTACAACTTCTGTAAAAATGAATAAATAAAATATGAAAAAAATATTTCCTGTTTTACAGCTTTTCAGTGATGTTCATGTCGCGTAATTACGTCACTTCATAACGTTCCCATGGCAACAGGGGGAAACGGCTGCTTTCGTGTGAAGAAAACGCAACATTTTTCAACTTTCTGCTAAGATATATGTGACTTTTTTTGCAACAAAAATGCGGGGATTATGAAATCATACAAGCCCCGTATATTTTGCGTGGAAATCGGCAATTTATACGGCAAAAGTGCGGCGTAGGCCTATTTGAAAAAATGCCCCCGCATAAATCTGCGGACTTTGGCTGAATTGCGTTTTTCTGGAGGGACTGAAAGGTGATGTTCATAATAATAAATTCTAGATGGAATAGCAATTGGCATTTTACAGCACCCTAGTGCCAATTTTGGGAACATGCCATGATAGTTTACAGCAACCTATTTTTGTGAAATCATACTCGAAATAAAAAAAATATTGCAGGACTTGGGACTTTCAGACAACTGTGGACATCTATACTTTATTTTTATGAAATAGAGATATTTTATGATATTTACAATATTTCAGTTAAACTACACTTGAACAATAACTTTTATCTTACTTCTTAACAGTTGGACCAAAAAAAAGTGTTCATTGAGTATACAGATTACATCTAGCCTACAGTAATTTTATACAAAAGACATTTTATAAAAATATATCAATAAAACCTAAATCAATGTATTCGGTATTGGACATCAATTTAACATTGACATTAGATGTTGAACTTACATTGAATTTTGGTCACCCGACGTCGCAACCAAAATTTAACCAAATATCAACGTCTTATGACGTTGTGTGCCTGCTGGGAATAATCTGTTATGTCTCATTTAACAGACGCTTTTATCCAAAGCAACAAGTAGGAGAGCATTTAACACACACTCGACACAATCCGGCGCGACGAGGTCCATTCGGGTCTGTTGTCTTACACGTCTCAGCGTTACAGAAGGTTAAATCATAACAAGGAAACTTTACATGTGATTCATGTCATCGCGACATACTGTAACAGTGTGTGTTTGAAAAAAATGATGTAGTCCTCTGCTTTTTTTCTGGGGTGCATTAGACGGCCAAACAGCAAAGCGACTAAACAAACACGAAAATTCGCAAGAGCAACAAAAGATTTGAAGCTTATGGCAGACGCGCCCAATAGATGCTTCGCGCTGTGATTGGCTGAATGTTAGCTCACTCAAGTCTAAGTAACAAATCAGAGAACACGGGCGGAAATATTGGCGTTGAGTAAAAAAAAATGCGGGGGACAGAATCGAGATATATCCAGCTGCAGACCCGCAGCACCACCAGTTTCAGAACCCCAGTGCCAGAACCCCAGCGCCAGAACCGGAAGTGAGGGAGGGGCGGAATTATTTACAATGACACAAGCATGGTTATTTTTGCAAGTATTTGAAAATATTTAAAATTGTTGCACCTTTTAAATAATATTTAGTGTATGTTTTTATTACACAGTGAGTCACTGCTCCTTGTATGAACTATAACTGGTATGTGACAAATAAAGAGCAAGACAGCGCTCGTGTTGTTTGAAGACGTGAGAGTGCGCGCGCGCGGCCAGGGCTCTCTCTCTCTCTCTGCTCTGCCCTGTCATGCGCAGCAGTCATTCTATTCTACATCACTCACCGATCAAAATAGGCTTTGGCGGGACACAAATTTGCTTTGGCGGCCGCCAAAAAGCGGACGATCTGACGGGTTTTAGAAGATTTAATACAACCTGAAACTAAAAAACAGACCCGACCTCTATTTGAGACCGGCCTTTATTTACCCAGACCTGCAGCCACACCAGGCGTGTAAAGGAGACAAGTACGGTACATTTTTATTGTTTCTTTTAAAACAATGCCGGATTTTCTCTCTCTTTTTAGATTTTTGACATTATTTTACATAAAGAAAAATGCATGCTGCACATGTTCTTGTGAAATAAAGTATATTTTATATAAAATGACCATAAGTTTCAAGTATTATTTTTCACCATCATGATCAGGAAGTAACTCTCATAATACAATGAAACGGATAACTATATAGAATTATATTACACAAAATCAATGTTTTAAAATGCTTATTGTACTATACCTTAATGTATCATTATAATACGAATAAAGTATGACGTTTCGTGTGTAAAAATGCCGTTTCGTGTCTAAGCAAATTACGCTCCAAAACGTTAGGTGGCGTTACTCGGTTTAGAACGTAAGCTCCGCCCCTCACTTCCGGTCCTGGCGCTGGTGTTAGAACGTAAGCTCCGCCCCTTACTCCCGGTTCTGGCGCTGGGGTTCTGAAACTGGTGGTGCTGCGGGTCTGCAGCTGGATACTATTGACAGAATCACCTGTTTCTAAAAGTGGGGGGGACGTGTCCCCCCCGTCCCCCCCGGTTGCTACTCCCCTGGCTGTTGGCACAAGAGACCCTGGAGTTTAAAATGGTCTATTTTTAACTTCATACAACTGCGTTTATATAAGGACAGATCTTAAGGTTAAGTGTGAAATGATGTGAGAAATCATAATGCAGTATACTAACCCAACCATGTTTTTTCAGCTCGTTTAAAACAATCCGCAAATTAATTGCAAAAAAAGCCAGACCAGCACAGCATCCTGCAGGTTATATCAGCGCAATCGTGTAGTGATTAGTTTTACCAGCAGAGGACGCTGCGAGCAACACTGACTCTATGGTCACACGCGCCACTTCATGAACAACATAATAATCTAAACGAGAGGAGTGCAGACACAGCGCTATTATCAAAAGATACATATCTCTTTCAAGGTAGTAACATACTGCATAGTATTCATGTTAAATTAAATTATTAATGTTTGTAGCTATGTGCTTTGAAACAGGCAAGGTGTGGGACTGTTTTGCACGATTTTAAACTCTGATATGAAAAAAAAAGAAGAAGAAACAATTGCATTAGCAGAACTCCATACTTAGTGCTTAAAATGAGCCTAAAATGCTTAATTCAGTAAGTGCTTAAAAAGCCTAAAATAATTAAGGGTATTTATTTATTTCCAAGTACAATCGTTAAAAAAAAATAAAAAAAATTGGAAAGTTAAAAACGTTAAAAACATTTGTCAAATGTATTTTTTATTTAGCATGCTTTATTTTTACAATTTGTTTTTGTAAAGACATTGATTTTTTTTTTTTTGAATTGTATAAAAACTTTAGTATGATCACAATGAAAGTGTCCACTGCAATATTTAACGTCCATAGTCCAATGTGTAAATAAAATTATTTAGGCACAGTGTATAAGCAGAAACTTCTTCCTTTTTGTAAACGCTCAGACATCACTAGCTGAAAGCTCTGTTACAATATATCCAGTTCCTGAAATAGCCTATTTGGTTCCACTGGGTGGCATTTACATGAATATTCATAATATGTCCCGCTATTATGGGCGGACCCCTCAAATTGGTACTTGTTTAATTAATAATTTCAAAAAGGTAATAAAGTTTTAGTATGCATAAACTGTTTACATTTTCAAAACAATGCACAGTTTATGTAATATGACAAATCATCTGAGCTTTTGCCTGAATGCTTTTTGATAAAATAATGTAAGGATATATCTGTATACAGCAGAGCAAACACAAATGTATAACCTTTTGCTAAAACAAATCATTTTTTACCCTTTTATGTTATAGCTTTTATTTTTAAGGCTTTCACATGTGAATAGTTTGATTAATAGCTTTGAAAATTTCGACTCCAATATACTTATTTGTGTAATTTGAGGCATTAAACACCAGAAAAGTTTACAAAGCACTGGATGAAGGAACAATTTGCTTGTGATAGAGCACTACACATTGACAGAGTGTGTTAGACACAAATACAAAAGCAACATCTCAACAATCAAATGAACAGGTTAAGAGTTCATTTAAAATTGTTAGATTGTTAAATAAATCATCAAGAGCTCTGAATTGTTTGACAGGTGATTCACATGATCTGAGGATTGTGTTAACGGGAGTCTGTGGAGCTGGAAAGAGTTCAACTGGAAATGCAATACTGGGTCGAGAGGCATTTAAAGAGAGCAGAACCAGAGAGAGTGAGATACAGAGAGGAAGAGTAGAAGACAGAAACATCTCCATCATCGACACTCCAGGATTCTTCAACACTCAACTGACTGATGAAGAGATGAAGAAGCAGATGATGAAGAGTCTTTATCTCTCTGATCCTGGTCCTCACGTCTTCCTGCTCGTTATCAACCTGGAGAACTTTGAGGAGGAGCAGAGGAACCTAGTGGAGCAAATTCAGGAGAACTTTGGAGCTCAAGCTTTTAAGTTCACCCTAGTACTGTTTACTGGGAGAGAAAAAATGACAAACAGAGAATGGATGTCCTTTATGAATAGTAGTACATTTGAAGACATAGTCAGTCACTGCAGAGGTAAATATCATTTCATCAACAGTAAAAGTGAGATTATTCCATCTCACATCACAAAGCTTCTGGAGAAGATTGATGAAATTGTCAAAAAGAATGATGGCCAGCATTACAATAATGATATTTACTCAGTTTCTCGAACAAAGAGCAGAAAAGAAAATAGAAAACCAGAGGAAGAAAAGGACAAAAGAAAAGAGCAAAAGAATGAGATGAGACAAGCTCAAATAAAAACAGTGCAGGAAACATTTGAAATGGACAGTGTGATGACAGAGAGAATCGAAAAGGAACGTTTTATTTTTCCGTTGAGAGAAACAGATTTGAGAATGTCTGAAGAGCACATTGTTGAAGGGAAGGTGATGGCTCGTACACCGTCAGTAAGATCACTGGCAGTCTTATTTGAAACAATGGAGACACAAAATACAGTCCAGACACCAAAAGCTGGAAGAACAAGGATAATATGGGGCCGGAAGAAGCAACAGACAACAACAGAACAACAATTGACCAAAGCAGGTAAGAATGTTTAATAGAACTATTTCATTAAACATTTTCATTAAATGTCAAGACATTTTCTTGAAACAGTAACACATTCCATAAAAAAATAACAACCTCTAAACACAAAATAAAGCTTTCACGCATTCAGTGATGAATTCAATAAACTGTTATCTACAGGGTTTTCAAAACAACCTCTATTCAATGTACAACTATATTTAAGGAGCAGCCTGCTATAGCTCGAGACTATAATGCATATAGCTTTATTTAGCATTATTTAGCATTAATTTCCATCTCTTGTTTTATCTTCAATCATGTCAGATCTCAGGATTGTGATGGTTGGGAAAACTGGAGCTGGAAAAAGTGCCACAGGAAACACCATTCTGGGACAAAAAGCATTTAAAGACGAACAGTGTGATCATTCTGTGACGAAAGTATGCCGACCACATCAACAGACGGTAGAAGGTCGAAACATCTCAGTGATCGACACTCCAGGACTGTGTGATACTTCCCTCAGTGAAGAACAACTGAAGGAGGAAATAGTGAAGTGTGTGGAGATGTCTGTTCCTGGTCCACATGTGTTTCTGCTGGTCATCAGACCGGATGTGAGATTCACAGATGAGGAGAAAAACACTGTGAAATGGATTCAGGAGAACTTTGGAGAAAAAGCTTCACATTACACCATTGTTCTGTTCACCAGAGGAGATCAGTTAAAAACACCTATAGAGGAGTATCTGACAAAAAACCACCAGACTGATGAGCTAGTCAAACAGTGTAAAGGCGGTTGTCATGTGTTCAATAACACAGATGAAGAAAATCGATCACAGGTCACTGAACTGCTGGAGAAGATAGAGAGAATGGTGAAGGAGAATGGTGGAGAGCATTACACAAATGAGATGTATAAGAAAGCCCAGAAAAAGATAATGCTGAAGAAGGCTCAAGACGCAGCTTTAGTGGGCGCGAGTGTAGCAGGAGTAGGAGCAGCAGTAGCTGGAGGTGCATTACTGGTCGCTGCCACTGGTGGAGTGGCTCTGCCTGTAGCTTTAATAGCAGGAGGAGCAGCTCTAACAGGAGGAACCGGTGCAAAAGTTATTGTAGATAAAGTTAAAAAGTAAAAGGTTGAGTTCACTTTGAAAACATGTGGAAACTGATTGCCTCAAAATAAAATTCAGCATATTAGATAATCATATATATATATATTTTTTTTTCATACATATACAGTGGTGTGAGTAAGTTATTACCCCCATGCTAAAGTTGCCTAAAAAGAGGAATAAAAAATCATCTTTTGGAAATTGATCTTAATGCCTTAATTAGAAAAATGAGGAAAAATCCAACCTTTAAGGACACCAATTTTCTTTGTGTATGAATAATGTATCATAAATAAATAAATGTTCTTCCTTAAAATACAGGGTGCATAAGTCAGGCATAAATTGCAATGCCAAAATCTTCATGCCAATCTCTAGGTATGGTGAAGGGAATGTGATGATGTGGGTCTATTTTAATTCCAAAGGCCAAGGGAACTTTATCAGGATGCATATTATCCTGGATCCATTAAATAACTGGCCTTTAAAAATAAAAATCTGCCTGACTCTATGGGAATTTAACATAGGGGGGGCCTGACTTATGCACCCTGTATTTTAAGGAAGAACATTTATTTATTTATGATACATTATTCATACACAAAGAAAATTGGTGTCCTTAAAGGTTGGATTTTTCCTCATTTTTCTAATTAAGGCATTAAGATCAATTTCCAAAAGATGATTTTTTATTCCTCTTTTTAGGCAACTTTAGCATGGGGGTAATAACTTATTCACACCACTGTATATACACACACACATATACACACACACACATATATATACATATATACACACATATACATAAATATACGTTTACATTTATTAATTTAGCAGACGCTTTTATCAAATAGAAGCAGTTAAACTAACAATAGGACAACAATATAAGTGCTATGACCCTTCCCAGTTTAGTCTAAAGCAGTATATTTAATTTTAATTTTGTTTTTTATAAATAGATATAGAATATAATAGAAATTATTAGTATTAATGGATCAAGTGTTGCCGAAAAAGATGCATCTTGATCCATTTCTTATTTATATATAGCCTTTTCAAAAAAATTTTTTAATGATTTTATTTTTTTACAATGAAGGTGTTTGATTGTAATACTTCAGGAAATACCTTTGATTACAGATATTTTTTGTTGATTTAATAAAAACAGTAATTTTTCAGTATAAAAATGTGAATTACTGTAATTTGTCAATGATGTCATAATACTGTACCTAAAATAGCAGCTGAGTTGTTTGTAATGTTATGCTCATTGTTTGTAATGTTATGCTCATTGTTTGTAATTTTAGAGTTTTGCGTACAATTTAAAATAAAATCATAAAAAATCTGCTATTTCCCATAAAATAAGGATTTAAAACTTTAGGATATATACTTTTTTTTGTTTCAATATCTGAATATTTCTGTGAAGAATAGGTCTTTGTCAGAAGAAAAAAAAACACTTGCTGTGAAGTGATGTGTTCAACGTGCGGTTCAACCTGTTCGATCTTATCAAGAACTTCTTAGGAAGTTTTGCTTTTCTTAAAAAAAGCTGAATTTTTCTCATTTCTTGAAAGTTTATATATTCTCTCACTTGTGTGAACCTACAAGAATTCAACATTCAATCAAAAAGTATGTAATAGAGAAAAGGGGCGAAGAGCTGAGGGAAAAATTGTGAAAAATCACAATTTCGTTATATGAAGTCATCATTATGATGATCATGACTACGGTGGCCTAGAGAGCTCAACTCGCTGCAACTGAACATCTGCAAATAGAAAAAACACCCGCAAATCCCGAAAACATCTTCATCAGTTTTACAACACACGTGTGCTCCAAAGGCTCACAACACAAGCAAATAAACGCGCTGCAAATATTCACAACACAAGCAAATACAGAAACACACTGCAAATGTTCACAACACAAGCAAATACAGAAACACACTGCAAACAGCACAGACCACAATGGAAATGTTTCCAGGGGATCCCAATAAGTGACAAACCTGACTTCAGTTGGTAAATAATGCAGTCTATTTCAGTTTCCTCAACGTGCAAAAAATGCGCCTATACACACATCGTTTTCAGAACAACAGCACAAATGGGCACAAATGCATTCGCTATTTAAAGAACGTTGTGCAGGACATGAAAACGAAATCTGCATTGGGCTGAAACTAGCAAAACACACCTGCGTCACACCTGGCGTTGCATTGCTCCGTGTGTATGAGAGGGCCCTATACATTTACATTTATTCATTTAGCAGACGCTTTTATCCAAAGCGACTTACAACTGAGGACTAAACCAATCGAGTCATCGTGAAGAGGCAAAAACAACGCAAGAAGTGCTCAAAATACAAAGTTCAGACATTGCTCGGAGTAGCATAAGCCAGATAAGTGAGGATTTAAAGGAAAAGGAAATACTTTTTTTTTTTTTTTTTTTATGTTAAGTGCTCACGGAAGAGATGAGTTTTCAGTTGTCTTTTGGATGTTGTCAGGGATTCTGCATTCTGGATGAGGGTGGGGAGATCATTCCACCAGCATGGAGCCGTGAATGAGAATGTTCTGGAGAGTGATTTTGTGCCCCGCTGTGATGGCACCACGAGCCGTCGCTCATTGACCGATCGTAGGCTTCTGGTAGGGATGTAGACTTGTAGTAGTGAGTGGAAGTAGGAGGGAGCTGAGACTGTGGTAGATCTGTAAGCAAGCGTCAAAGCCTTGAACTTGATGCGAGCAGCGAGTGGTAGCCAGTGCAGAGAGATGAACAGAGGAGTGACGTGGGCCCTTTTGGGCTCGTTGAAGACCAGACAAGCTGCAGCATTCTGGATCATTTGTAGAGGTTTAGTTGCACATGATGGAAGTCCAGCCAGAAGAGCATTGCAGTAATCAAGCCTAGAGATAACCAGGGCCTGGACAAGAAGTTGTGTTGCATGCTCAGCTAGGAAAGGCCTGATTTTCCTGATGTTGTGCATAGCAAACCTGCATGATCGAGCTGTCTTTGTAATGTGGTCTGTGAAGGTCAGCTGATCATCAAAGATTACTCCAAGATTTCTGACCGACCTTGATGGGGTGATTGAGGATGACTCTAGCTGGATAGTGAGGTCGTGCTGTAGAGACGGATTGGCAGGGAGGATGAGAAGCTCAGTCTTTGCCAGGTTGAGCTGCAGGTGATGTTCCTTCATCCATGCCGAGATGTCCGCCAGACAGCTTGAGATCCGTACAGCTACTGTGGGATCATCTGGTTGAAATGAGAGGTAGAGCTGGGTGTCATCAGCATAGCAATGGTAAGAGAAACCATGTGCCTGTATGATGGGTCCCAGTGATGTGGTGTAAATGGAGAAGAGGAGCGGTCCAAGAACTGAACCCTGGGGAACCCCTGTGGTCAGTTGATGTGCTTTGGATACCTCACCTCTCCATGTGACCTTGAAGGACCTACCTGTGAGATAGGACTTAAACCAGTGGAGAGGAGTACCTGTGATGCCCAGTGATGAGAGGGTGGACAGAAGGATCTGATGGTTCACAGTGTCGAAGGCAGCAGACAGGTCCAGGAGGATGAGAACTGAAGATCTGGAATCAGCTTTTGCGATCCGCAGGGCTTCGGTGACCGACAGCAATGCAGTCTCAGTTGAATGCCCTTTCTTGAAGCCAGATTGGTTGACATCCAGCTGGTTGTTCAGAGACAGGAAGGATGATACTTGGTTGAAAGCAACTCGTTCAAGTGTTTTCGCAATGAATGGTAGGAGAGAGACAGGTCTGTAATTCTCTAGGAGTGATGTGTTTAACGTTGTTTTTTTAAGCAGTGGAGTTACCCGAGCCTGCTTAAATGCTGTAGGGAAAATGCCAGTGTGGAGGGATGAGTTGATAATGTGTGTGAGAGCTGGTAGAAGTGTGGGAGAGATGGCTTGTAGAAGGTGTGAGGGGATGGGGTCTAGAGGGCAGGTGGTAGGATGACTGGAGAGGAGAAGTTTAGATACTACTTCCTCGGTTAGTGGAGTGAAGGAGGAGAGAAGATTGTTGGCTGTGGGAGAGGTTAGTCTGGGTTCCTGTGTGAGTGAAGCTGAAAACTGACTGCTGATAGTTGTAGTTTTGTTAGTGAAGAAGTTAGCAAAATCATCAGCAGTTAGCGAGGAGGTGGGTGGTGGTGGAGGTGGAGGTGGACAGAGGAGAGAGTTGAATGTCTTGAACAGTGAACGTGTGTTAGAGGCGCTGTTGATCTTGTTGTGGAAATATGAAGATTTTACGGCGTGAACATCAACAGAAAAGGAAGAGAGCAGAGATTGATACCTACTGAGGTCAGATGTGTCTTTTGATTTGCGCCATTTCCTTATGTTCATGTAATCAATAAAACTCTCTTCAGTATAGTGTGATTGTTTTATGTATCTTCTGAAAGGTTTTGTAATGTTGTTGATGAACTTCAGTCAGTCTTTCTTCATCTTATTGTTTGTTCAGATCAACAGGAAGTGCAGTGAGAGGCGGAGCACAAATGAACCAATCCTGGGCTCTGTGGGCGGAGCCACTGATGATTGACAGGGATCATCAGTAATGAGTCACAGGAGACTTATTTATGCAAGAAACATGATGTAACAGTGGAATTAAATGAAAGTTAAAAGTTAGTGCATTAAAATATCAATATTAAAATTGTATTAATTTCAAAACATGAGTTTCTGCATCACTTTTATTTGTTTTCAATAGTTTTTCATGTTTGCTCCAAAACACTCCTGACATTTAGCTGGACAGTTTGTGGATATGATTTTCCTATAAGTGTAATGTAATTTATTTTCTAAAAAATATTTTGAAAAATCGCATACCCATTTAAGAAATAACTGGTTTTGACATTGTTAAAACTGTAACAGCAAGTATTGGTGTCGTATCAAAATAAAAAAGTTTGTTATGTTTTTGGACCATGTGTGTCCTTAATAAAGCTTTGATGATGATGATGATGATGAAGATGATACTGATGTTCTTTCTCTCAGTGAGAGGTTCAGACAATATTCATCATTATTCTCTAGTGATTAAAGATGAAAAGTAAAGTAAATGCTTTACCTAAGAGGTGATCACGCAGGCGACAGATTGAAGTGACCTCGGATGAC